ATTTTCTTTTTTAAAAAAAAGATTTTTTATTTATTCATGAGAGACACACACAGAGAGAGAGGCAGAGACACAAGCAGAGGGAGAAGCAGACTCCATGCAGGGAATCCGACCTGGGACTTGATCCCGGGTCTCCAGGATCATGCCCTGGATTGAAGGTGGTGCTAAACCACTGAGCCACCCAGGTTGCCCTGATTTTCTTTCTTTTTTAAAAAATATTTTATTTATTTATTCATGAGAGACACAGAAAGAGAGGCAGAGACACAGGCAGAGGGAGGAGAAGCAGGCTCCAGGCAAGGAGACCCATGTGGGACTCGATCCTGGGACTCTGAGATCAGGCCCCAAGCTGAAGGTAGACGCTCAACTGCTGAGCCACCCAGGTGTCCTGTGCCCTGATTTTCTTAATAACATTCTCCTCTCTCTATTGTAAGATATACAATATACAATAACATATAAAATATGTGTTAATTGACCATTTAAGTTATTAGTAAAGTTTTGGGGGAGTCAAAAGTTATACTCAGATATTTAATTTAAATAAAAAATTTAAAATCATTATATCTTGAAAAAAGTTATGCTCAGATATTCAATTGGTAGGGGTGGGGTGTCAGTGCCTAAAAAATACCCCACCCCAGATTGTTCAAAGGTTAACTATATGTTTTCCTAGGGCTTCTAATACAAAGTACCACAAACTGGGTGGCTTATAAGGACAGAAATTGATTTTCTCACAGTTCTAGAGGCCAGAGATCCAAAATAAAAGTATTGGCAGGGCCATACTCCCAGTGAAGCCTGAAGGGGAGGATCCTTCCAGGTCCCGATGGCCCCAGGGATTTCTTGGCAGCATAGTCTCATCTCTGCCTCCATCTTTACATGCCTGTCTTCCCTCTATATGTATCTGTGTCCACATTTCTACCCTGTGATGAGGATACCAGTCATATGGATTGAGGCCCACTGCAATGGCCTTATCTTAACAATTAAACCTGCAAAGACCTTATTTCTAACTAAGGTCACACTCAGGGGTACTAAGGGTTAGGACTTGAACATATCTTTATTGAAGGGAAACATGGTTCAACCCACAGGAGGGGAGAAAATCTTAAACAGTGACGTTGAGGGACACCTGGGTGGGTCAGTTTGTTGAGCAGTTGACTCTTGATTTCAGCTCAGGTCTTGGTCTCAAGCCCCATGTTGGTTTCCATGCTGGGTGTGGAGCCTACTTTAACATACACACACACACACACACACACACACACACACATTTCAAAAAGTGAAGTTGAATATAAATGTTAACAGAGTATAAAGGAACTAAAACTCACATCCTCTCAAGGAAATTCTCATGGGCCCACTCCAGTTTTTGGACACTCCATACAAATTAAATCATACTTTTATGTGATTTTTTGGTGTGTCTGGCTTCTTTCACATAGTTTAATGCTTTCAAGCTTCATTCCTGTTGTAGCCTGGATCTGTAGTCCCTTCCTTTTTATGGCTAAATAATATTCCATTGTGTAGATGCACCATATTTTGTATATCCATTCATCAGTTGATGTACATTTGGGTTGCTTCTACTTTTTTGGCTATTATGAATCCTGCTGCTAGGAACATTCATGTATGAGTTTTTGTTTGAACACGTTTTTAGTTCTCTCAGTAACATACCTAGGAGCAGAATTACTGAGTCATGTGGTACTTTTTTTAAGGAACTGCCAGACTATGCTCCATAGTGGTTGTACCATTTGACACCCTTACCAGCAATGTAGAAGGGTTTGATCTCTCCACATCCTCACTGGTATTTGTGAGTTTTTGTTTTTATTTTGTAATTATAACCATCTTGCAACTATGAAGAGGTATCTCATTTTGGTTTTGATTTGCATTTCCTTACTGACTAATGATGGTGAGCATCTTTTTTACGTGCTTATTGACTCTGTGTATTTTCTTTGGAGAAATGTCTAATAAATTTTTTTTATCTAGTTAAAAACTGAGTTTTTTTTATTGTGGAGTTATATGAGAGTTCTTTATTCTCTTTTTTTAAACGTTTTTTTAACGATTTTTTAATTTAAAGATTTATTTATTTATTTATTCATGATAGACATAGAGAGAGGGAGAGAGAGAGAGAGAGAGAGAGAGAGAGAGAGAGAGGAGGGAGAAGCAGGCTCCATGCCGGAAGCCCGACACAGGACTCGATCCCAGGACTCCAGGATTGCGCCCTGGGCCAAAGGCAGGCGCTAAACCGCTGAGCCACCCAGGGATCCCCGAGTTCTTTATTCTCATACTAGATCTTTATCAGACACAGAATTTGCAAATATTTTCTCCCATTCTGTGGGTTTTCTGTTCAGTTTTGATAGTGTTCTATGATGGGCAAAAGTTTTAATCCAGTTTATCTATTTTTCTCTTTTTAAAAAAATTTTATTTATGTAGTCATGAGAGACAGAGAGAGAGAGAGAGACAGAGAGGTAGAGACATAGGTAGAGGGATAAGCAGGCTCCCTGTGGGAAGCCTGATGTGAGACTCGATCCCAGGACTCTGGGATCACAACCTGAGCTCAAGACAGACGCTCAACCATTGAGCCACCCACGTGCCCAGTTTATCTATTTTTCTTTAGTTGCTTGTGATTCTGGTGTCATATATTAGAAACCATTGCCTAACTCATGGTCATAAAGATTTACACCTGTGTTTTAAGAGTCTTACAGTTTTGGGGCGCCTGGATGGTATAGTCACTTACGTGCCTGACTCTTTGGTTCCGATCTCAGTATCATGGGATAGTGCCCCACATCCAGCTCTTGGTTTAGTGCAGAGTCTGCTCAAGAGTCTCTCTCCCTCTCCTCTGCCCTGCTGCTTATGCTCTCTCTCCCTTTCTCTCCCTCTCAAATCAATCAATCAATCTTAGAAAAGTATCTTACAGTTTTAACTCTTATGTTTAGCTCTTTGATCCACTTTGCATACAAATATTTATATGTACGTGATACAGGGATCCAAATTCACCTTTTGCCTGTGGATGTCCAGTTGTCCTAGCATGATATGCTGGGGTTTTTTTGATATGCTGTTTTTGTTCCTTAATCTGTTTTGGATATTTTTCATGCCATCCTCTATCCTCTCACATATATCCCATGTATTAAACAGCTTCTAACATGCTGCCCACAAACACACTTTCTTCCCAGTGTGTCCTAGATTGCAGTCTTAGTGGGACATGCCTGCCCTCTGGGATTCCCCAGAGTGCTCCTTCCCAAATTTCCATCACTTCAATCCCTTGGGAGCTTCTTGGGCTCCCAACCTTCCCACCTAAAGAGAAGAATCGACTTTTTGGGGGTTATGGGTTAAAACATTCCATTGTTCACTCTGGACACCTTGCTATTCCTTTTTAATTTTTATTTTTTAATTCATTTCTGCTAGTGACCATCCTCTTTCTCAGCAGAGTGACAATGCCAGAGTTTTGTTTCATTTGTTTCTATTTGTACAGCGCAAGGATACATTGAAAAGTGAATAAGACCAAAATCAAGATTCCCTATCAGGTATTCTGCTGTGATCTGCACACAACCCCTTAAGCCAAAATGACCTTTGCAGCCGGGGGAATTTAAAATCTCAGCATTTGGCATCAGAGTTCCTGTTAGTGTCTGCATGGCTTCCAAGCAGGACTGTGGGCCTCTCTCTGCAATTTGTGCTCATGTATATGCATCTCATTAGTAATCTGAGGTCAACAGTAATCTGAAAATCCCTGGCTGTGAGGGCAACTGGGTAGGGGGCATGAGAAGGAAGAGATTTGGAATCAGCAGTATCAGAGAGGAGCTTGAGTTTGTGCATGAGGGTGGAGGTGTTCCAGACAAAGCAAACATGGGTGGAGAGATAGGGAGTTAGGGAGCTTGATGTAGGCTAACCTGGCTCATTTGACCTGGACCAGAGAGCTGACCCTCCCAGAGACACACCGGAGATGAAGAAGATGACTCTGCACCTCACATCATTTCACCAGTTGGCCTACAAGACTGCCCTCCTCTTACTGAGATGGAAATAAAAGAAAAATTTCCAAACCCCTTGAAAAAAAAAACAGATTGATTTATTCATGAGAGACACAGAGTGAAAGACAGAGACGTAGGCAGAGGGAGAAGCAGGCTCCCTGCAGGGAGCCCCATGCAGGACTTGATCCCAGGACCCCGAAGTCACTACCTGAGCCCAAGGCAGATGCTCAATCCCTGAGCCACCCGGGTGCCCCAAATGTTTTATCTATCCCTGAGTTGAAAAGTGTAACCTTACCCTGTGAGTGTGTGAGCCAGTGAACAAACTCCTCTTTGGGAGTTGACTTTCTGCAGGCTCTTAATAACCCCTGAGGAATTAGGTCTCTCTGCCTATTCTTCTGGACCTGTACACCCATCTGCCTTTGGCTGCTGAGGGGGCAGGAATGGCCATGCCCAGGGAGACATCGCCTTGCTGGTACAAGGACGGTTTTACTCCAGTGTATTCTTAGGATCATATGCCTGCATGTGTGCGTGTGTGCACGGGCACTGGGGTGTGTGGTTTTTGCAGACAGGGTGAGGAATAACAGGAGTCGTGTCGTTTAATGGGAATATAAGGCAAAACAGACATGTACCACCAATGGAAATATCGATTTCCTTTAACGGGAAGTGACTCTTTAGCATATGTATTTATTAAACTCAGATTCAACTCAAATACACGAATAGGGACTGAGGCTTTGCTCTGTGACGCCTGTCGCCCTGTGGCTTTCGGGGAGTCCACGGGACGCCAGGGCAAAAAAAGGAGCGAAGACTATCCAAGGACAGGGAAAGGCCCCCCGAGGTCAGTGGAGAAGAGACAAAGCCAACGCTGGAGGTTGGGTGTCAGTGAAAGGAGAGCTCAGGGAAGGTCACGTCCCAGGAGGTCTCCCGCTCCTGGGAGAGCGGCCCCGGGGGGCTCTGAACAGGTCGTACCACTAGGGATGGGGCACGACGGACGAGCCCGGGGCCGTGCAGGGGCACCCCACCGGCGGTGAAGCGGTTATCGGGTGAGATGAAGTCCGAGCTGCAGGGTCAGTCCGGACTGATCTCCTGCCAGGCCGAGGACCGCAGGCGGCAGAGCAGCAGGCCGAGCAGCAGCGCGCCCCCCAGCAGCACGAGCACGCGCCGCCACCGCCGCCCCCGCGCCCGCCCCCGCCCCGGGCCGCCCGCCGCCAGCCGCTCGCACACCCGCCGGAGCCCGCCGTCCGGGGCCGCGCCGCGCAGCTCCGCCGCCAGGCGGTACACGTCGTTGGTGAAGGGCGCGTCCGCGTGCTCCCGCGCCAGCCGCGCCGCCAGCGCCAGCAGCTCCCCCGCCTGCGCCTCGCGCTCGGCGCCCTCCGCCCGGTTGTCCAGCGCGCACACGCGGCCGCCGCACTCGGCCACCAGGGCCCGCAGCGCGCGGTTGTCGGTGGCGCGCACGTAGTCGTGGGGCGAGGCCCCCGCCAGGTCCTCGCGGCGGGTGAAGACGACCACGGCCCGCGCCAGCACGCCGGGCCCGAACAGCTCGCGGACGCCGCGCACGGCCTGCTCGTCCTGGGCGGTGAAGCGGCCCAGCTGGGTGACCAGCAGCAGCGCGTGCGGCCCGGGCGCCGACAGCAGGTAGCAGCGGCCCCGCTCGGCGCAGCCCGGGTCGGCTCGGCGGCCCTCGGCGCTGAAGAGGTCCGGGGTGTCGGTGACCTCCACGCGCCAGCCGGCCCAGCGGCGGCTCCCCAGGGCGCACGTCCTGGTCACCGGGGCGGCGGCGAGCCTGGACGGGAAGCGCCTGTGGCCCAGGATGCTGTTGCCCGTGGCGCTCTTGCCCGCGCCGGTCCTGCCGACCAGGATTAGCCCGAGCCGGGGCTCGCGTGCGGGGGACACGTCGTCCCCGTCTTCGCGACCTGTGGGGACGGCAGAGGAGGCGTGGGCCGCGGTGCCCCGGGGAACCCAGGAGAGCACCGGCGCCTTGGGCTTCTGCTTCTGCACCCGGGCTGTTCCCAGGCGCTCGCTCGGGTCAGACCTGGGGCGTCTTTAGCGTCTCTCTTCCCTCTTTGGCTGCAGCTCGTGCACCTGCACCTGGACCAGCCCCCCCCCCGGCCGGTGCGCATCGGTGGCGGGGGCGGGGAGGTGGACCCCTGGACGCTGGCAGGCCCGAGACTGCAGCCCAGGGCGTCTTGGGTGGTGCGCACCGTGCAGGGCTGTGGCGCACTTGACAACTCCCGTGGCCTCTGGGCCACTGCTCCCAGGCGTCCCGTCTGGGCCAGGAGAGGCGGAGGACGCGGGAGGCCTGGGAGTGAAGTGCTGCCTGGAGCCCCGGGCACCCGGGCTGGGATGCCAGCCCCAGTGCGTGCCAGCAGCGTGACCCTGGGCAGGCTGCTTAATCTGAGTGTTAGACCCCTCTGCACAAATGGGAGTGGCGACAGAATTGTTTCTCCCAGGGTCTCTCCCCTTCTTCCCAACACCCCTCTCCGTTCCTCCCTGGCTCTTAAACCTGCTGCCAAGAAGATACCTGTGAAGCCCCCATCCTTGTTCTCTCGCACATTCTACCTGTGTGGAATCGTGTTCCGCCTACTACATGGTGTTGTACCCTCCACATCCTCTTCTGAGGGGGGGTGTCACGGTAGATGTCTTATCCTCATTTTACCCTTGGGGATTGGAGGCACAGACTAGTCAGAGAACTTACTATCTCACAGTGGGGCAGGGGCAGAGATGCAGCGAAAAGGCAAATCCGGGGCTCTTGCTGCTTCACCCCAGCCTGGAGACACCTCGGGATTTGGTTCTGCCCAGTTCTGAGTTATCCCATCACCGGGTTCCCCAGAGGTGGCATCTGGGGGCAAGTACACCCCAGGATGTAGGTTCTTACCATAGGCATTTTCTTCATCTCTTGCCATCTTCCGCCCTCCCATGCTTGCCTGGAAGAGTTCCAAACACAATTGGTTGGTTCACTCGCTCATTCATTCATCTGTCACCCCTACTTACAATGGGTCAGGCAAGGTCCAAAGAGCTGGTGACACCACAGTGAAAAAGGCATGGTTCCTACCTTCCCCTGAACATCAGAATTTAGCGAAAAACATTGGAAGGACCTGGCTAGCGTTGGAAGGATACCGTGAGAACTTTTGGGGGGCTTGGCTTGTCTTTCCAGGGACCCCAAATACAGAAAGCAGATTATAGCGCATCCTCTGTGTCAGCGAGGTAGCTTTAGATGCTAGTTTTCCCAGGTCGTTTTGTATCAGTGACCTAAGCTGTGGGTACTAAGTTTTCCCAGGAGGTTCCACAGCCAGGGGAGACTTTGGAAAACCCTGGGAATCAGGAATTTGCTCAGTGACTCGGGGAAACCGCCTGAGGGTGGTTGGCCTGGGGAAAAAGCAAGAAGAGAATTTGCCTTTTGTTTTTGGAAATTGGAAAGAGAATATATCTGATCTGAAGAGCCTATGATCAGCTCTCAGAAAGCCAAACACTTTGCTTGTGCAATTTGTCTGAATATGATCTGTGTGCTGGAGACATGGGCCACTGCCCTCTGGCTCCTACTGTCCTTGCCCCGAATCTGAGGCCTCTCAGAGTAAGTGATTTTACCCAATTCCGACCTGATTTAATGCAGTTAAACACTCAGTGAACAAGTTTGCCTGAGCACCGGAGTGCCTGGACACAAGCACACAGCCTGTGCCCCTGGATTGCCTGATACTCAGTCCAAAGCTTTTTGTGTTTCTGCAGTAACACCCTTGCCACGTCCCCAAAGTCCTCAGTAAAGTTCACTCCACAGGCCTTAGGTGATTAGTTATCTTATGCATCCAAATCAGCAAAGTCCCATAACTGACCCCTGAGCAGAAGTGAAGAAACAGCCAGAAGATTCAGTGCACAGAACAAGAATGCAGCTACAGCATGAAGTCCTTGTCAATGCTGGAAATGAGAAAGTGTGCTGTAGGCAATTCACCGAACTCCTGGGCTCTTTGGAACCTCTTACAAGGTTTGGATGGGGATTTGGAAAGCTCTTCCAGAGTTTTTGAGAGCTCTAATCTGGGTTACAAAGGTCGTAGTCATAGAAGAATGTAAAACATGGAGACTCCTGTAATCTTAAATGGCATTGGAGATTATTTAGTCCAGTGCTTCTGAACCTGCTATCTTTTGGAAGTATCTAGGGAATCTTTAAAATATATAATTCTTTGACATTTCAATTCACAGATCTGTACTTTAAAAAGAAAATAGGGATGTCTCGCCCCAGCCCTTGAGTGGTTCTAATGCATTTGGTCCATACTCTGAGTTTCTGAGCCATTCCTCCTGTCCAGCCCCATCATTTACAGCCGAGTGTGAAGAGGGCCCGCAGCCCCCAGAGCCCTGGGTGGCTTGGGCCCCGGGGGAAGGGATGTGTAAAGGCACATGTAGGGCAAGGATTTGAAGACCTTGTTCATCATGGTCGCTGGCTCCTGGAAGTCCCTGTCATGCACAGGGCTGAGGAGGGGGAGTGTTTGAGGAGGATCCAGCTCACATACATAACTTTCACTTTGTAATGCCTTCTGAGATCGGACAGGCCGCAGTAATACCTTTGGCATTTGCTGCATATGCACTCAGGGAGTTTTTGCAGGCTTCTCTGGGGTACCGTGTTCCTGCAGTTCCTTCTAGCAAATACCTTTATTACTAGTAGGGGATTAGGGAAGGAGAAAGGATTGAGTCCCAAATATGAAGGTGTGCACTCCACAGCTAGAGGAGATACTTACCACTTCTGAACTTACTTTTTTTTTCTTTTTAAATTTTATTTACTTATTCACGAGAGACAGAGAGAGAGGGAGGCAGAGGCAGAGGGAGACTCTCCACAGGTGGAGCAGGGAGCCCCATACGGGACTCCATCTCAGCTCCGAGGATCATGACCTGAGCCCAAGACAGATGCTTCACCGACTGAGCCATGCAGGCGCCCTGAACTTACTTTCTTTGAAACTCAAAGCATCCTTAAAAGCCTGGAAGTGTGAAGGTGTCCTTTCTAGATCCCACGCCCCCTCCTCAGAGGAAGTAGGGTGCGGGTAGGGTACGGGTAGTCACTCAGTGAGCTACACACAGGTCCTGAAGTCTTCACAGCTCCCACACCTGGGCGACCCCCTTCCCCGTATGGGCTCACCTTTCCAGCAGCGATGGTGACAGGCTTTGATGTTGGCTGGAGAGGCCCCTGACCTAGTGCTTTCCCTTCAGTTGGTCTTGAGCGCAGAATGCTGCTCCTCCCAGTGCAGGGAGGAAGTCAGGGCCTCTCAGAGCTCAGAGCCCCAGAGGGAGGGCCCAGGGGTGCCGACTTAAAGGGACAGGAACATGGGCCAGCCAGTGACACTTCTACATCTTTTCCCATGCAAACCTCATCCCCTGCTTTAGATGATGGTGATGTTTCCCACTGGTCCCCATGACACCCCATCTTGTCCCCAGCACAGGCTGTAACCTCAAGAGAAGAGCAGTTTAGATTTCTGAGGCCTGTGTTCAGTTCCAGCCTCTACCCACGAATCGTATCTCCAGTTGCCTTTTATTCTTGGGGGTGTTTTCCTATGAAATGGCCTCCTGAGAGTCTCCCTCCGCAGGGCAGGATTCGGGGAGGCCTTGACTGGAGATCAGTGTGGACAGGGTCACTGGTGTGGTCCTCTCTGCCAGTCTCATCATTTTTTTTTTTAAGATTTTATTTGTTTATTCATGAGAGACACAGAGAGGCAGAGACATAGGCGGAGGGAGAAACAGGCTCCCTGTTGGGAGCCTGAGGCGGGACTCAATCCCAGGACCCTGGGATCATGCCCTGAGCTAAAGGTGAATGTTTAACCCCTGAGCTGCCCAGATGCCAGTCTCATCTTTCTTAAAGAAAAGGAGGACTTTTCCAGTTATTAAAGATCAGACAGCAGGAAGGGAATGTAAATTTTTCATACAAGGCTTAAACTAGCCTCAGACCTGAGTTTTGGTTTCCTCTCTCAGGAGGGTCATGGGGGAGGTGAGTAAAATAGCCAGCCGTTATGTGGAGAGAAGGCTACAACAGGAAATGCTGATACGGACCCTGGACCTGGGTAGGTCATTAATCAGCTCAGATCTTGCCTAACTCACTTAAACTTTGTGGAGTTAACTTCAACCAAAGCTAAATGGCTGGAATCTTTTTACCCATTCTCGCCAGCTCATTCTCTCTAGTGATGATACCTACCCCACTACCCTCCATCTTGTCCCTCTCCCCAGCTTTAATGAGATATAATTGAATTGTAACACTGTGTAAGTTTAGAGGGCACAGTGTTGATTTGATGCACTTACATGTTGCAAAATGATTAAGGCCATAGGATTATTAGTTAACACCTGCATCACATCACAGAATTACCATTGCTTTTTTTTTTTTTTTTGAGTGACAACATTTTTTTAAAGGTTTTATTTATTTATTCATGAGAGACGCAGAAAGAGAGGCAGAGACACAGGCAGAGGGAGGAGCAGGCTCCATGCAGGGAGCTGGATGTGGGACTCGATCCCGGGTCTCCAGGATCAGGCCCTGGGCTGAAGGCGGTGCTAAACCGCTGAGCCACCCAGGCTGCCCTTGAGTGACAACATTTAAGATCATCTACTCTCTTAGCAACTTCTTATGTATGATAGAGTGCTATTAACTCTCACCGCTGTGCTGCACATTAGACCCCCAGAACTTACTCATTTTATAACTGGAACTTTGTAACTCTTTGACCAATATCTTCCCCATTCCCCTGTCCTTCAGCCCCTGGTAACTACTCCTATACTCTCCATTTCTATGAGTTTGGCTTTTAAAAATTCCTCGTAGAAGTGATATTGTACGTATCTGTTGTTCTGTGTCTGGCTTATTTCATTTAGGACAATGCCCTCAAGTTCCACCCATGTTGCAAATGACAAGATTCTTCTTTCTTGTGGCTGAATATAACATTTATATCTATATATCTCTATCTATCTATCTATCTATCTGCCTATCAATATACATATATATATTTTATCCATTCATCTACAGATGGACACTTTGGTGGTTTCCATGTCTTGGCCCTTGTGAATCATGCTGCAGCAGACATGGGAGTGCAGATATCTCTTCAAGATGCTGCTTTCATTTCCCTTAGGTAAATACCCAGAAGGGATTACAGGATTACATGGTAATTCTATCTGTAATTTTTGGAGGGCCCTCCATACTGCTTTCCACAGTGGCTGCACCAATTTACAGTCCCACCAGCAGTGCACAAGGGTCCCCCTTTCTCCACATCCTTGCCAACACTTGCTGTCTCTTCTATTCTTGATGACAGCCATTCTGACAGGTATGAGGTGACATCTCATTGTTGTTTTGATTTGCATTTTCCTGACGGTAATGACACGGAACACTTTTCATGTTACCTATCAGCCATTTGTATGTCTTCTTTGGAAAAAAATGTCTATTTAGTTCCTCTGCCCTTTTAAAAATTGAATTGTTTGTTGTTGTTGCCGTTGTTTTAAGATTTTATTTATTTGAGAGAGAGTGAGCATGAGGGGGAAGGGTCGAGGGGGAAGGAGAAGCAGACTCCCCACTGAGCAGAGAACCTGTTTCTGGCTCCATCCCAGGACCTTGAGATCATGACCTGAGCTGAAGGTAGATACTTAACCAACTGAGCCACCCAAGTGCTCCTCGAATTGCTTTTTTTTGTAAATGTTTGAATGATATGAGTTCTTTATATACTTTGGATATTAACCCTTTATCGCATATGTGATTTGCAAACATTTTCTCCCATTCATTGGGTTGCCTTTTCATGTTGTTGATGGTTTCCTTCACTGTGCAGAAGCTTTTAGTTTGATGTCATTGCATTTACTTATTTTATCTTTCATTGCCTTTGTTTTTGGGGTCAAATCCAAAAAAATATTGCCAGGACTGATGTAAAGGAGCTTACCCACATCATACTGATTTTAAGCCTCTTAAATTTATTGAGGCTCATTTTATGGCCTATTGATCATAGTTAGGAGAGCATTTTTTGTGCCCTTGAAAAAAATATGTATTCTACTTTGTTGAGTAGACTGTTCCAATGGTAGGCCCAATTGGTTTATGGTGTTGGTCACATCTCTTTCTCTTTTGACCTTCCGATTAGTTGCTGTGCACACTGTTCAAAGTGGGGTATTGAAGCCTACAGCTTATTGTCAAATTGTCTATTTGTCCTTGACTTCTGTTATTTTTTTGCTTTGTATGTTTCAGGGCTCAATTGTGAAGTTCATATATGTTTATAATTACTATAGCTTCAAATTCACTGATTCTTTCTTCACCCAGCTTGAATCTATTATTGAGCCCCACAGGTGTATTCTTCATTTCAATTATTATACTTTTCAACTGGAGAATTTCTATTTTGTTCTTAAAATATAATTTCTGTACTCTTATTGACATGCGAAGGATAGCAAATCAAGGCCTAGAAAAGCAGAAAGGGGATCAGTTTGCAGACGAGCTACTATATGCTATGTTACCTCAGCTGCCCAGTTTTATTTTATTTTTTTTAAATTTTTTAATTTATTTATGATAGTCACACAGAATGAGAGAGAGAGAGGCAGAGACATAGGCAGAGGGAGAAGCAGGCTCCATGCACCGGGAGCCCGACATGGGATTCGATCCTGGGTCTCCAGGATCGCGCCCTAGCCAAAGACAGGCACTAAACCGCTGCGCCACCCAGGGATCCCTAGGTGCCCAGTTTTAAACAAGAACTACAAGATATACATCAAAACAAGAAAGTATGACCCACGTACTGGAAACAGTCAGGCCACAGGAATGGCATGCAAGAGCCCCTGGATATTGGATTTGAAGACAGGGCTTCAAAGCAGCAATTATAAGTGCATTTAAGGAACTGATGGAAATCACACTTAGAGAAATAAAGAAAGCTATGGAGACAATATCTCAGCATAATAGATTCAGAGAAAGCATTTGACAAAACTGAACAGCCTTTCATAATAAGAACACTCAACAGACTGGAAATAGAAGGAGACTTCCAGGAGTACATGGGTGGCTCAGTGGTTGGGCGTCTGCCTTTGGCTCAGGTCATGATCCCGGGGTCCTGGGATCAAGTCCTGCATTGGACTCCCTGCAGGGAGTCTGCTTCTCCTTCTACCTATATCTCTACCTCTCTCTCTTTGTCTCTCATCAATCATTAAATAAAATCTTTAAAAAGAAGAAAGAAAGAAAGAAAGAAACTTTCATAACCTGGTGAGGGGCGTCTATGGAAAATCACATGGCTAGCATCCTAGTTCATGACGAAAATCTGAAAGCCTAGCCCCTGTGATGGGAAATGAGGCAGGGATGTCTGCTCTGGTCACTTCATTTCAGCTTTGTGTGGCCCTGCTTACCATCTTGGCTAAACTCCTGTGGTGTGAAACCTCGGGTGCGCCCCTCACAAGGTACAACCTGGAACCTGCACACAGTCATGGAGTGACAGTAGTTGTAGCAGTACTCTTATCTCTTTTCCCTAATCGCTCTGCTACTCTGCATGCCTCTGTTGGTACAACACTCAGCTGTAAGCCTACGAATTGCCAGCTGATTGCTCTCTGGTTGTTTAGAAGGCCTTGGGACATAAATTGTTCCACAGTCTGATTTAACTAAACCCACAGAAAGTGGCTTCTGTGGCCAGTCTTTCAGCTTTTCTCTGACCCTAAAAGGACTCTCCTTAGTTGCTTCTTTTCTTGATTCTCTCTGGCCAGCTGGCTGGCCTGTGGTTTTTCTTGTATCGCTTGTAGGGTTACCAGTCTCCTCTAAATTGCTTGTCCCACAAAATGTTCGTTCTTTTCAAGAGTAGCCTTTGACTTGAATTTCCTAGTAAAGGAGGCCTAGGCCCAGAGCAGGGGATGATAGCCTCTGGTCTTTTCAACTTGCCTCTCCCACCGTGGACCTGCTGTCCTCTGAGGGAACTGGACTGTGGGCAGCTGGGCCGCCAGTGTTGGCAGCCTGCTGGCTCTGGGGTGCGGCTGCTGCCCCGTGAGTAGAGGAACAGGAGGGTGCTGTTGGCTGCACCCACCAAGAGTTTAGTTTCCACAACCAGAATCAGAGGGGATGAGAAATGTTGCGCACTCACACCTATTTCTAAGATACGGTAGTCTTACTGGTTAGCCGAGGAGAGCGGGAGCCCCACCTTCTTGGCCACACCTGCCCAGAATGCAGGTTCCTCCTAGATGAGCTGAGTTGGAAGGGAAGAAGCAGGTTATGGCCTAAGTGTCACA